GGCATGTCGGTACAACTACTTTGTTTCATCCAACCTTTGTATTTATTAACATATTTTTTTTACGATTGAGAACCAAAGGGGCGCAGGCGGCAGTAAAGGTAAAGAACTACTACCTTAACGGGAGTCTTCGAGGGTACAACGATGCGCAGTCAAGCCAGTACCTCCCTGATCTTGGGAACTTAGTCTCGAAGATTCCCTTTACTCACGACGTCGACTTCTGATTCAGCCGCTACATGCACGCACATTTGTCGGGCAACAGCAGGTTGGAGTGGGTTTTCCCGAATATTTACACTGATAATGTTCACTTTTAAAAGCCTGTCAAGATGGCCAAAACCATTTTGCCCACATGATGCCTTTACCCCCTGCTGGAGGCTCTCGGCAAGATCCAATTACGACGCATTCATCTACAGCCACTCATTGGACCTGACCGCATGTAATAAAATGCTTCCCAACGGCCGCGTGGCTCGTAATTGCCAATTAAAGCTGTACTATCGAAGCTTCATCCCCCCTTCACGCTAGGTTAATGGTTGCTAATGTAACGTCAAAGTACATTCGTAACATCGTGAAGGTCGCTTCGCTACGCAGTATGGTGAAGCAGGCGAATGTGTTAGGAGCCTGTAACGTTGCTTTGTGACGTCACCTCTGGCACGAGGGGCCTCCACTGGAGGGAGCCCCAAGGGGACCCCTCTTGGGGGGTATTTTGGCGAAGAAAATTGGCCTCGTTTCAATTTCGACGCCAGGAGATCGAACCGTCGAGGCGTGATAACCATTGCACCACGGGCGGCATCCCAACGTTCGTTCGCTCACGCGTTAAAAGTCAACTCGAAATGTTTTTTTTTGTATCTTTCCAGACTTAATATTTAGCAATTACTCTTCTTAATTACTTTTTTGCCTGTTTATCGTTGGCGTAGTTTAAAGTGCTGTTAATACTGCACTACTGGTTCTGATCTGTGGGCATGATGCCACTTAGGGTTATCAATACAGTACTCTAGTTTTCTTTAGAACTGCGTTTTGGTGTTTTAGTTTGTTGTCCTTCCCCTGCACCTCCGATTAGCACGGTTGGCTATGTAAGGTGCGAACAAAGTTAAACATACAGTACGTACGTATACGTACTTTTACTTATAGGAACCTCTTGGTTACACCAGCCCACATGGGATTATTCTGTCCGTCCGTCGTGCAGGGAGGGGTTGGGTGGGGAGGGGAGGGAGGGGAGGGTGGGGAGGGGCTGGGTGGGGAGGGTGGGGCTGGGTGGGGAGGGGCTGGTCACCCCGTTGTGCCCTTATAAAACTCTACGTTTAACCTACTCACGCCGGCTTGTGCCCGCCCTCACAGTCGGCCATATTTGCGGAATACACCACGCCGCCGTTGACCCTGGCCATTGACCGAGCAACCCAACGTTCCTACCAGCTCCCTCCGCAGGAATGTGTTTTTGGGCGTCTGATTTTGCACGATGAATTTGCAATTGTGTATCTTTCATGAATTAACCCACAACTCCTAGGACTATTATGTCTTGCTGATAACATGTACTCCCAGATCACGTGGCCAATGGGTTTTATTCAATATGTTGTATTTCTTTTGATTTTACGTGCAGAGACAAATATGGGAAGGAGTCGTTATTTCGTTAACATTCCACAACGCTTAAATATTGCATCATATTGTTTATAAATGATATGTGATCGCATTTATATATATAAAAATTTTTTTAAACAAAAGCCCGGTACAGAGGACGAGCGATTGGGGAGAGGTGGTACAATGTCCCACGGACGACAAGCGCGTGGCCAGGTGCCCATGGCATTGCATTCTTCATTAATGTAACGTGACATTAAATGTGTACATTAGTTACACAGCAAGGGAATGACAGTGGCAGCCAAGGAACGGAAGGCGTCTGAGAGCACCTGCACCGAGGAGACGGAGTGATGAAATCTGCCCGCGTTCCGGTTGCGATGCGGTTTTGTCGCTACGTTGCAGAACTGAGGTGCAAACGGATTCGGGAGGCTTTCATCCAGCAGTGGATTGATCTTGGCTGATGCTGAACTAATGGCACTACGAGGAACGTCCTCAAAGGTAGTACAGGTTTTAACAACTAAAACTATTTTTTTATTTAAAGCTTTCGTGACTGCAGGGATTCATATTCATGGTTCTTTCGGTAAGTCACGTAGAAGGGAAACAATAAAATAATAAAAATATAAAACAATAACATTTTCACGACGTTTCGACTGCAACACAAGCAATCATCATCAGGTGTGAAATATATATATTAAATTTTTCCCTTCTACGTGACTTTACCGACAGAACCAAGAATATAAAACTATTTTGTGTTTTACCTACGTGACTTTACCGAAAGAACCAAAGAGTATGGATTCCTGCAGTCACGAAAGCTTCAAATCAAGATTAAAACTACAGGTTTTACCAACTACAGGTTTTAACAACACCCAACACCACGACAGGTTTTAACAACAACACCTTTCGGCATAAACGAAGCCAGATACGGCTTTGAATATGGTTTGCTGATGCCCCCTAGGGACAACATTTACCCAGTGCAAATCAAGATTCAATGCAATACCACCATATTTCCAGGTGGCTCGTTAGGGTTTGTGTTGGCACACCGACTACGGCTCGAGCTCGACTGAACGTGGTGTGGTGGGTTGCGGAAAGTATTTTACCGACCCGGACAAAACTGTATAACTCGTTTGGCTTTCGCCACCAATATTCTCCATAATAAAGGTTCTTTGGGTTTAAATTCTGGCAAATCGGCTGGGGAAGCTGATTGTAATCACCAGCGAAACGTCGTACTCAAATTGTAAATGTTGTGGGGTTACCCTCCCAACACACAACCGGTGTAATTAAGTCGTAACTAATTGGCACGTTTTGTGTACCTAACAAACCGTACTTAATTGGCTGTGTCGGGTGGTGGTGGGTTAACGACACATTAATATTTAACACCAAAAATTGTCTTCCGGACAGACGTGGCTGAAATGAAGCCCTTGCAGTAACTTCAACACATTCCTGCGGAGGGAGCTGATAGGAACGTTGGTTTGCTCGGTCAATGGCCAGGGTCAACGGCGGCGTGGTGTATTCCGCAAATATGCCCGACTGTAAGGGCGGACACAAGCCGGCGTGAGTAGGTTAAACGTTGAGTTTTATAAGGGCACCACGGGGTGACCAGCCCCTCCCCACCCAGCCCCACCCCTCTCCACCCAGCCTCTCCCCATCCAGCCCCACCCTCCCCACCCAGCCCCTCCCTCCCCACCCAGCCCCTCCCTGCACGACGGACACAATAATCCCCTGTGGGCTGGTGTAACCAGGAGGTTCCTACCAGCATAAACAAAGTGTAAGCTTTGGCCATTGTACCCAACGCAATCAATCATCAGTAAACGCTTGTGTCATACAGAAGATGAACGAGAGAGGGAGTGGTGGGTTGAGGTTGTGAAAAGGGCATCATTGGAATGCTCATCTGTTGGAGATCCTTCTCCATTGCAAATTCCACATTTATATAACCGGAACCAGTCTTTAAATAGAACAAGCACGGCAGATGTCTTATTCATTTGATCGACCAAGAAGAGATGTTTCTGGTATGGGCTTAACCAACCCTAGATTTCATAGAGTGTAGAGTACTCTAACAATAGTGGTAGCCGGCCAAGTGCCCACACTTTACCCAACCACACACGACCGCTCCCCGTTAGGTGGACAAGAGACAGGGAAATCTTGAATTTCGATTTAAAGCTTTCGTGACTGCAGGGATTCATATTCTTGGTTATTTCGGTAAAGTCACATAGAATGGAAATAATACAATTATAAAAATAAAATATTTTCTTTTATTGTTTTATTTTTATTATTTTAATATTTTCCTTCTACGTGACTTTACCGAAAGAACCAATAATAGGGAAATCTTGCTCATTGTTTCAACTGGACATTGAATAATTAAATGGAACATGGCGAACTCCGGACTGCAAGTCAGTATTCCGAAATATACAGTACGTGTAATTAACCCCCCCCCGCCCTCCAAAAACAAACTCAAGGTGGGGTCCACGTGCGAACACACATTTCCTTTCGAACACCTTTCTATATAAAGCACTCAATTACAGGAGCATTCCCGCGAGGCTATCAGCGACGTGCCCTCAATTACGCGTCGTTCATTATCGCCGCCACGCACACATCCGCTTGGCCGCTTGCTTTGCCCGACGGAAAACGATAATTAAGGGCCCTTTTTAAAACGCGCGTGTGCCACTTCCCATCGCCGGGAATGCGCTGTGATTTCTGCTCACTGGAGAAAACATCGACGCTTGCATCTCCGTCTGTGCGCTCACTTAAAGGGCTACAATTTGCAGAGTAGCTTCACTTGACCGTTAATTGAACCAGGCTAACATCTACACAGCTCGTTAGCGCTAACTAGATGTTCCATGCCCAACAAATATTCACCTAATTGCAAACGCGTTAATGAGATGTTGCAAGCACTCCTGTTGATTAGGCGTCGAGGGAATGTGGATTCTGCTTGTTCCTTCGATGCGTTCACACGTTGCTTTTGCTCAAGAGGACATGAACAACTTTTGGTTTAAATGCTATTTCGCAACAGATGCGCGTCCTCATCAGATGTCTTGAAAGCATAGGTGGCCAGGTGAACCAGAGGTCAGGGCAATAACCTGGCACGGCAGACTTCCTGGGTTAAAATATAGGCAATTAAATCTGGTGTCTTTAATTTGACGACCTAAGGCCGATCACCAGTGGCTGTCCTGCACTTTCTTTGGCTAAATTCCAGCACTGAGAATTAAACTGTCAGTTTGACTATCACGTGACGAACAATACCGCCATATGCAGAGTGGATGGGGAAAATTCTGCCCCCTTCAAGTGATCTTGTAGGTCACTTTAAGGTAGCTCTGTAATATCTGCTTCTGTGGGCCATTCTCGAACACCAAGAACCGCAGAGCACAATTGTGAATAAACTGAGCAAAAACAACAAATACACATTAAAAAAGAGGTCTTGACTTTATCAAAAGCACAGTTTAGTATTTTTATTGTTTTTCCAAGTGCGGTATACGTGTCCGTGCTTACCAAAAATAAAATAGCCCCACCAATGTCCATATCAAATGGGTGTGCGTGCCTTCGCCTCATCACTTTCGCACACCAAGTTTCATATATGTCTGCACAGGCAGCTATGTGATCGTGTCACATGTAAAAAAAGAAAATAATACAATTCCTGCAGTTTCCTCGTAGAGTCTCATTTCATATAATGTCAATTTGCATGCCAGTGTATACGTTTACAAACAGTTGGTGTATATTCTACATCAAGATAAAATTAATACTTTATGCAAATACCCTATTAATTGCATGCGGAGTTACGTGGTGCAATATGCTAGCAGTTGCTACGAGTTCCTTATCGCCACATTCTTAGATAACAAGAGCATCGCTAGCATTCCTTGATTGCGTCGGTCTTCACTGTTGTCCTGTTCGTCTCTCCGACGTGCTTTCGGGGCGTGCCGCGTGTTGCTCGGCAACGATGTCCGACGTTTCGCTCCACGTCCTGGGAGCTTCATTGGGAACACGTGGGTACAACTTGAGAAAGCATCAGAGAGCTATATAAGCAGGTGAAAGTGGTCTCCCCGGTCAGCTCCATTGGCAGCCCTTAACCTAGTGCTGGAAATTCCACATTCCAATGGTGAGGACCAGTTTCCAATGGTGGGCTGAGTCAACCCCAACTGGGATTGGAAATCACAGCCTGCCGATTGTGAGGATAGCGCTATAATCACATTGGCACCCATAAACACCATCACACCCAGCCCCCCCCAATATTCGCAGCCGATAGCAACACGAACTATATTTCTAATTAATGCCCGTACAGTTTTTCTCTGACTACGCATCTCTACGTCACACCACAAGCCTCTCACGAGGTCATGGGAAAATGGTTAACGGAACCCATGTAACAAATAGCTCTCATTTGTGTACACTTAACCATAGGCTGTGATGTTCGTGCTGTCGGATCACGCATTTTTAAGCTTCCTTAGTTAAGTAGGAGACTTTTAAATCAGTCAGACGTGCTCCAGTGATGTCACTACAACATTACAGATGGCATTTTTAATACGTCACTCCAGTGACATCACAAAAGCACAATACCCCACCGTAGTTTTAAAAGGTAATTGTATCCACTAATTAAGCTCCATACTCATGTTGAAGAGACTGGCCCACCTAGCAAGCCCAGTTAGGCATCTACAAGAGTCACTTGTACTTTCTTAAGTTGCACCATCTCATAAAAAAAGCAGCTCATCCTCACGTGGGATAGTGAAGGATCGCCACGCACCCCCGCATGTGCCAGACCCCGAGTCCTCGTACAACCGCACAGAATCTGCTCTTGCCGTCACTGCCAGCCCAGTGCGGCAGGGAAACCCGACTGCATCTGAACCTGGTCCTGCGTGACAGCACTCTGCTGCCCCATGTACGCGAGACCGAGGGCCGCCGCCGCCGCGGCCGGCCGCCGCCTGCTCCTGATGCTGCTGCTGCGACTGCGCCGCCAGCGCCGGGTGCACGAGCGCCGCAGAGTGAGACGGGAAGGGCACGGTGAGCGGCAGCCCCATCGACGCCGACAAACCGGCGCTCAGCTCGGCCTTGCGTCTGGAAAGCGGCCAGGCTCTGCTGCATGAGGAAGGGTGCCGCGGCGAGGACGGAGGACTGCTGATGGTGATGCTGCTGCTGCTGTTGTTGTTGCTGTTGCTGCTGCTGTTGCCCGGCGAAGGCCATGGAGCCGAGAGAGAGGGGCAGTTCAGCCTGGGTGGACGTGGAGAAGCCGGGGTAGACGGGTACCAGGCCCGGCTGGGAGAGGGCGGCCGGCAGTAGAGGCTGGGGATTGTAGCCACCGCCCACTTGGTACTGGGCAAAGCTGGGAACGGCGATGCCTGCTTGGGGCTGTGGGTGGTGAGACGGTGACAGTGAAGAGCAAGGTGGGCGTCACCCCTTTCCCCATGCCAGGTTTTTCACATCGGCAATCTTGGTGATACAGACCCCCATCGACTAACACATGTATGGATGTATGTTGAACTTCTTTCGCACCGTACGTAGCCAACCATGCTAATCGGAGGTGTGGTGGAAGGACAGCAAACTAAACACAAAAAGTAGTTCTAAAGAAATGAAATCATATCGTCTATTTCCCAGTCTTGCTATCATATACTTTGGAAACAAATGCATATTTGTTTCATATATATTCTGTCAATACAGATTCCCAAAGTGTTCGAAAATGCATGCTATGAGGTGGGTTGTTTGCATCCTCAGGTGGTAGCACTGTACTTAGCAGAGGAAAGCTTAATGTGTGGTGGTTAGCAAAAAGCAATTCAGCAAAATCCACTGTTGTGCTGAACTTCTATGCTACCACAGCTATGCTCCCTACCGTTAACCCATGGTGAAGTGTGGGAAAATAACGCCCATGACCCATGCGGCGTGGAAAGACTCTGCAATAGTTTCTATGCTAAATGTAACAATTAAATAATGTATCCAAATTACAAAATTGGGTATTGAGAATAGTTCTTCAACTCAGCGATGAACTGAAACAATAACTGGCAAGATAATTGTTTTTTTACCCTTTTATCTGGCAACAAAACTGACATATTTTTTTACAAGGAGTCATGTTTGCATAGACCACAATACCTGCAGTCGGAATGCAAACAAAAAACATAACTCTGATAATGTATGCACTGTCCTTGAAGTTGATTGGTCTACACCCGAGACAGCTTAAAAAAGGTGTCAGTTTTGTTGCTAGATAAAAGGGTAAAAAAACAATTATCATATTTTTCTACTGGAAAATGAGGTTCCAATGGAATAACTGGCAACTTGAATGCTTGTGTACGTGACAATTTTATTTATTTGCTTATGTTGGGTGATGCGGGGCTCTTAACGGCATGCATTGGGTCAGATCATTTTGTGACCTAACACAAAAACATTCACGTGCGGAGACACGGGTGTGACAGTGAACACTCCAGTACCTGCATAATGGATGGGGTTTCCCGGTGTCTGCTGGAGGAAGACGACCGTTTCTGGACGGGCATATGGTATGGGGACGCTCCATATCTGTACAGACAAGCGGACAAGGGACACACACAAATATAAGGATCCCCCAGATAGCCTGAACAGACTGTTGGGGCAAGTGCTGTTCACGAGCACCTAGTCTCCCACCATGACCCTCCACTCCTCTTTCTGCTCTGCATGCTTCTGTCTCCCTCCCCTCCTCCACATTCACCTTTCTCATCTACACATACGTAGAGCCCAATCAGTCACTGATCTCAAGTCAATAAACTGCAACCAATTAAGAAGGACCACTGCCAATAGCTTTTAGCCTATGAGATGAAAAAATGCATTGTAAGGCAATGTTTTAAATAATTCATGTAATGAGTCCAGATTTGTGCTTCAGATTCATTTAGCTGCTTTGGGCCTTTGTATCTGTGTTCGGCATCTGTGATTGAAAAATGAAATGGGCGCCACGGTGGCGAGTTGTTAACTCCCTCGCCTAGTATGAAGGATGTCGTGGTTTCAATTCCGACTCCGATGCCTGTACATATGGAGTTTGCATGTTCTGCCTGTGGTCGTGTGGATCTTTCTCCGGGTCCTCGGGTTTTTCCCTCTCCATTGAGAATCAACATGCATTTAGCTGTTATAAATTTCCACATGATAAGCCACTTCGTTGAGCAACCATTTGTGGCCAGGTCGTTCTCAAAAAGAGCTATGTAGCTCAGTGGGCCTTACCTGGTAAATTAAAATAAAACAAATTTAGTTAATCTTTAAATAATGCACTAATTTTTATTTTAGGGTCTCACCCTGCGCTGGAGATGCCGGTGTCCCCAGCAGGGCTGGGAAGGGCTGTGAAGGCAGAGCGGCCCAAAGAGCCCCCCACGGTTTGTGAGCTCCTCTCCGAGCCCCCCACGTCCGCTGCGCTGCCCGCCGCCAGGGCTGGTGGCGACGACCATTGGCACGGAGGAGGACACAGTGACGCGGCGTTACCATCCGCAAGACCCCAGCGTTTAAACAAAGACAAAGCGATGAATAGCTCCTAAATTATATGAATATATTGTATGCACATGGTACAGTATATGTATGTTGAATGTCTTTGCCACCGTACGTAGTCAACCGTGCTAATCGGAGGTGCGGGGGCAGGACAACAAACCAAATAAAAAAAGAGTAAAGTTTCAGCCTGGGAATTGCTTGCTTGTTTCCACTGCTGGAGGAAGGGCCTTCACTAGACAGAGCTCTAAGGAACCCCTCCAGTGGGTATTTGGCCTACTCTTCTATGCTGGTGAAATGTCTCAAAGAGATGGAAGTATCCACACTTTAACACTCAATATGCAACCTGCCGAATGGCAATACTCGTCTATACTGCTGTGTGGATACAGGTGGGGGATTTTAAGAAAGTTGCTCAACGTTATAACTGCCGCAGCGGGAGAAGGCATCGAACCAGAGACCTCTGGATTGCAAGTCCAGCCTGCTGACCATTACACCGCGACAGCATCCCAGTTGTCCAACATGGCTTCAATAACAAGTGGGGCCTTACGTCAGCACACACACTCGGTGGAACCTCTCAGTCCGGTGTGTTAGCCATCACAAACGGGTGCCAAGGTGGCGAAATGTTAACTACTTCGCCTGGTATACAGAGTTTATGGGTTCGATCCCAACCCTGACACCTGCTGTATTTGGAGTTTGCATGTCTCTCTCCCCGTGGTCACGTGTATTTTTCTCCGGGTCCTCTGGTTTTTCCCTCCACTTTTAGAAACATGCGTTTAGAGTATTTTACTTTTATAAATTTCCACGTGATAAGCCACTTCATCTAGCTCGCATTTGTGAAAAAGTACAATGTAGCTCAGTGGGCCTTACCTGGTAAAATAAAACGTACCTTTATAGTTTTACAGTTCCCAAATGCAACTCACCCGCGTTGCCAGACTCGTGGTTTTTTCGCGACGACATCTCCTGCACAGCCGCGCTCGGCTGAACGTGCGACGCGGCCGTGGGCGAGGCACCCACAGCGAACGGCGCGAACCCGGCGGATGCCGGAGACGACGGGGGGAGGAACGCGTTCGTCTTCTTCTGCGGCGGCGGTGTTGGGGCCGAGCGGTTCTGCCCGTCGGTGCTGGCCGAGTGCCGTTTGCCGCCGTGCGTGTCGCCGTAGGAGTATCGCCGTGACTCCGCGTGGCTACCGGCGTTCGCCGGAGCCGTGCCGTCGGCCGCACCGCCGCCGCCAGCTGCCTAGAAGTGGGGTTTGCCACGGTGTTGTTTTCCACAAGGCGATAATACCGAGCGTCGTGTTACGACGATTTTCGCAAAGTCAGTTTCCCGTTACTTTGCACATTTATTTCATGATGTTTTACCTTGTTGTTGTGCTTTGGTGTACTTTAAGTACAAAAAGATTACGTAAACAATCAACAGCAGTTCATTCGACATACGCCTGGTATAAATGTGATTGTTACCTCACAATCTATGCCGCTAAAAACGCAGACTTTCAGAAAATTGTCATATAATCGCCATGCTCTCCATTGCTCCGCAAAACGTTTTACAAAGCACTAACATAATGCACAATAGCTATTCTTTTAGAACGTCACTTGGTAGTCACTGTGATTTTATTTTATCAGATAATCAAATAATTAACAACAAAAAATAACGAGCCCAGTAAGCACGACATGACGATATATTTCAAAACGAATGATACGATTATCGTGGATCCTATGTTGTACGACATATCGTAGTATTGCCACAATGTGGCCAAGCCTACCTGGAAGTTTGCCGGCAGCGATGGAAAGGGGGCGGCCGCCGATGGCAGGGCCGACGTGTCGGTGGTGGCGGCGACAGCAGTGGCGCCAGGGTGGTGGTACGGCTGCTGAGCCAAGGGGAATGACCCCGAGAGTGCCGGCAGGAAACTCTCAGCCGCAGATCCCGACGAACCGAGGGACGCGGAGATTGGCGGCGTGGACGGGTAGGGCGGCGGGGCGGCCGACGGCAGTGCTTGCGACGCGGTGCTGCTGGGCGGGCGGAAGGGTTTTTGCGACCCCCCGTGGAAGCTGGAGTAGGTTGGCGGGGGAGCGGCCGCACCAGCGGTCGACAGATATTGTGCCGACGGCAGGCACTCCGCCGCTGCTCCTCCCGCGGGGGCCCCAGAAGACTGGAAAGCGGAGTTGGCTTGGATCGCTTGGGCCAATGCTGGCATTAACGTGGAGGCAGGAGTTGATGTGGCGGGCGACGGGTAAGCGTGGGTGCTGGCGGAGGATCCCGGAGGTGGCTTTGTGGGCTTGGTCGAAGAAGCGTGGGATGATTTGGAGCTGCCAGAATGACCTGGTAGAAAACGGTTGGGCATCTCAACAATAATGTGCATGTATGTGTGCGTATGCATGCAGGTGTGTGTATGTGAGTGTGTGCGTATTTAAACTATAAAACTAAACAATAAATAATTTTAGATTTTAACAGGTAAGGCCCACTGAGCTACATAGCTCTTTTCCAGAAGCAACCTGGCCACAAATGATAGCTCAATGAAGTGGCTTATCGCGTGGAAATTTACGCCAGCTAAATACTCTAAGCACATGTTGATTCTAAACTTGGGAGGGAAAAACTGGAGGACCTGCAGAAAAATCCAAGTGACCACGGTGAGAACATGCAAACTCTAAATATACAGGCGTCAGGGTCAGGATCGTACCCACGACCACCTGTAAACCAAGCGAGGTAGTTAACATCTCGCCATGTATGTGAAACTCTGCATATGTATATCAGTATGTATAACTTATCTTTCGCACCATACATCGCCAACCACGCTAATCGGAGGTGCGAGTGTGTATGTATATGTATGTGTTTCATAGGTGCTCGCTAACAGCACGTGTCCTTACAGTCTGTTAAGGCTACACGGGGATTTTTGTCTTTGTATGTGTTTCAGTCTTTCCTTGCTCAGATAAACCTCAATGAGACTCTGGACTGTTTCCACGAGCGTCCTGCCATCTCATGGTTGAGTAAACCATGCGTGCCAATGCGTGCCAATGCGTAGGGATGTAAATTGATTAAACCCAATTCCTGTGCTCATGATACAGATCATCGAAGATTTTTCGTGAGAATTGATGATCTACAATTCAGGAAAATGACATTCAAATTATATACTGTCGCATTTAGTTTAGTTGAGTGAAGAAAAAGTGTGTTAATGGCTAATGCCGCAAACGATACAATAAAAATTATACAAAGATTAACCGACTTATAACCAATGACAATTCCGTTTCTCTTGCTGATAATTTGAGTGTAAATTAATAATGCAAAACACCGAAACATAAAATACAATCGAAAACAACAAATGACTGAAACATCCGTATCTGTACGGAACTGGAGTGTTTGGAGAAAACCAATGCATGTAAGATGCGTATAACACTCAAATCTCTACACAGATATTTTAAGAATCCATTGCTGCAGAACCATCTGCTAACCAACCACCTCGTAACCCACCAAACCTACGAAAACCCTGCAATGTCCTGGCATTCTCTCATTCATGTAGTAACTAGGCACAAACACACTCATCGTTTGAGATCTAACAAGGCCGTGGGAGAACCGGTCTCACAACAGTGACGACAGCCTGACCGTCTTACTGGTACCATGATGGAACCAGAGCGCACGTTGACGGATGCACTGACAAACAGACATGAGCGCGTGCTTCCCCGCGGACCCTTCACAGCGATACACACCTGTGCAGGTGTGGTCATTAGGAAGTTAATAAATGCACTCACTGTGACTGGTGGACTGTTTTATTACGCTGGGCTGAGCGTCTGGATCTGTAGCAAAAAGAGAAAAACACGAAGAAAGTGACAGGTTTAAACAGACGTACTCACACAACACTGTCTTTAAGTCACTCATGTAAGTACTTGTGCACAAGAGTATACGTGTGGCCCTCCTCTTGTTTGCTCGAGCGACTGCAGGACAAAGGGCCTCCAATAGAGAAAACTCGAGAGGGTATTTGGCCTACTCTTCCACGATGTACTTGTGAACAAGAATATTTCTTTAATTTTTATTACCGAAAAAACCAAGAATAAGTCTAGATTATAGACTGCCAGTATGCTCACTCAGTTTAATAACCATTGCTACAGTCTACATTATAGACTGCCAGTACACTCACCAAACTTAATAACCAGGCTACAGTCTACATTATAGACTGCCAGTACACTCACCAAACTTAATAACCAGGCTACAGTCTACATTATAGACTGCCAGTACACTCACCAAACGTAATAACCAGGCTACAGTCTACATTATAGACTGTCAGTATGCTCACCGAGGTTAAGAACCAGGCTACGTCTACATTATAGACTGCCAGTACACTCACCCAGCTTAATAACCATTGTTACAGTCTACATTATAGACTGCCAGTACACTCACCAAACTTAATAACCAGGCTACAGTATACATTATAGACTGCCAGTACACTCACCAAACTTAATAACCAGGCTACAGTCTACATTATAGATTGCCAGTACACTCACCAAACTTAATAACCAGGCTACAGTCTACATTATAGACTGCCAGTACACTCACCAAACTTAATAACCGGGCTACAGTCTACGTTATAGACTGCCAGTACACTCACCAAACTTAATAATCAGGCTACATTCTACATTATAGACTGCCAGTACACTCCGATTAAGAACCAGGCTACAGTCTACATCAGTGGTTTTTTGTTTTATTATTATTTTTATTTCATTTTTAGTCACTTTATTTTTTATTAATATTTTTCTATCTACGTGACTTTACCGAAAGAACCAAACAATACGAGTATAGGTGTGGCCCTCCTATTGTTTTATTTGAGCTACTGCAGGATAAAGGACCTCCACTAGAGAAAAGCCAAGAGGGTTATTTGGTCTACTCTTCCACGATGACCAAGTCTTGTTGGAAGAGGGAGGGTACCCACACTTTTACTCCACCACGTGACCTGTCAATCAACTGTGGCTGTACCCATCTATGCTGCTGGGAGGGCACAGGTGCACGGGGGATTTAGGATACTTGGTCATTGCTTCAACTGTCGTGCAGTGTGCTAAACCATCACACCAAATAATGTTAGACTTTCCACTCACTGCCTATTTCCTAAATACACATATTAACATTGTTTAACCCCTGACTTATTAGACCACATGTGTATTCCTCTCCATGAAAATAAATACATTTGCCTTAGGTACATGAAAAAAAACCAATGTGTCCAATCAATAATAATATAATACTTTTTTATTCACCAACACTTGTAGTATTAACGAGGACAGCACCTGGGTTCAAACCGCACACCTTTGCAACTAGTGAAAAATGCGCCACCGCCTGGACACATCAACGCATTATTCAACCTAAACTTGTTATTTTACCATATAAGTCCCACTGAGATATATAGCTCTTTTTAAGAAGTGACCTGGCCACAAACGATAGCGCAACGAAGTGGCTTATCCCTGCGTGGAGATTTAAAGCGGCCAAATACTATAAACGAGCGACGTCGATTCTAAATACGGAGGGAGAAACCGGAGGACCCGCAGAAAAATCCACGCAAATTTGCAATTCAAATATACAGCAGGCGTCAGGGTCATTATAATAAACCACCACCGCCCCCCCCCCGCCCAGAGCCACATCTGCAGACTTTCGTTACGCACCAGCCTTAATGTGGGCGAGGACAGGAGTTGGCACAGCCGACTTTGAGGAGGGAGGCTGTGCCGAAGAGCCGACGGCCGCCGTGATGCCGCTGGCCGACGTCACGGAGATCGGCTTCGAGATGGCTGGGCGAGAAAGAGACAACGGTGTGAGAGACACAGCTGTGTGAACAACATGTGTGTGAGCAACATCTGTGTGAGAGAGACAAATGGCGTGATGCTTGTGAACCATGGGCGGCACTCACAGGCTCCGGCAAAACTGGCAAAACACGCACGGGGCTTTGCTACCAGGGGAGCCACGTGAATAAAAGTAATCGAAAATATCCACATGGGCGTAAGACAAGTCGAGAGAGAGACACACTGCTTAATCAGGGACTTTACAAAAATTATTCCCTTTCATCATACGTACGTTTTTGAATGTATACACGTGACTGGGATGGGGAGCATTGATGCAGTGGTTAGCGCACTATACGATGAACCCGGCCACCTGAGTTTGATTCCCAGCTCAGGCAGGCATCGGGGATATCTGAACTTGTACCCCCAAGCTTCACCAACCCGCACTGCAGGCTGTATTATGGATGGTAAAGTATGTTGAATTTATTTTAATTATTACACAGATGACTGTTATTATTACACAGTTTAACCAGTTGCCTGACTATTTTACATGGGAAATCCGTAGTGCGTGAGTACTGTAGCAAAAGACAAAAACATCAATATTGATCCTCTCCCTTTGCATAACTCCACCACTACTCACCCCAAGAGGCCTAGCTCTTCATATCTGGTAAGTTCTATCTTATTCATAATAGAGGTTTTTTGGGTTAGATCGCGTGAATATATAAATGTGTCGTTAAAACCCGCCACCACCCGACACAGCCAACTAGTAAGGGTTGAACGTGCCAATTCGTCACTAGTACAGGACACCGGTGTGTTAGAGAACCAAGACACATCATTTACAAACTGAGTATGACGTTTCGCCAGTAGTTACAACTCGCTTCATCAGGCAACAGCCAGATTTGTGGAGGAGTCTTACTGTTTCGTTCCTTATATAGAGGCGTAGATGTGGTGACCACGATTCTGTGCTCTTGCGCTCGTTGTAATTACTGGCGAAACGTCGGACTCAGATTGTAAATGGTGTGGCTTGGCTCTTCCACACACTAGTGTGTTGTACGAGTATACTACACTATACACATTTTTTTTCCCCTTTACATTTCTGAAAGTCACTACGCGGTGGATACGTGAATCATGCTGCCATCTTCGAGGTGCAAAAAACCCCCGGTACATTTGACTGGACGAAGACAAATATCTCGTTACCAGGAGAGAGAGAGAACTACCTCTGGATTTGTCATCTCGAGCGGCGTATCATCATCATCATCGTTATTATTAAGCAACTAACAAAAAACCGGGAATTTCAATGCCCCGGGAGGACTTGCAGAGGACGTCTTAGGTAAAAAGCAGGACAGGTGGCAACTCCCTAAGTGTTTAGCCTTCCGACTGGCACACACCACAACATGCCCCAGGCGAAATCGGCCTGGCTGGCTGGGGCATGTTGTGGTGTGTGCCGCGTAGTCATGCGGCAACACGCGCACGTGTTTGTTTTCGCACGTGGGCTCGCGCGTGCCTGTTGTTGGTGTTTGCGTGTGATCTGTTTGCTTGCAATTTTGCACGCGCGTGCACAGCATCACGGCGCAGACCCCCGCGGACGCTTCGCAGCCACCTCGCCACCGTTGCGCTGCGTTGCTACGAGTGACGAATTGGCACGTTGTGTTTACGTGACCACCCTTACTAGTTGGCTGTGTCGGGTGGTGGTGATTTTTAACGACACAACATTTATATATTTACACGATCTAACCCAAAAAACCTCTATTATTGATGATATTGGTCGCGAATGCCTACGTGTTAAACTTATATCTTATTACTTGCAATTATTATTAAAAGTTAAAATGTATGTTACCTTATAGCCAGATGCGTTTTCGTACACTTCAATGACATTTAGTCACGCATTTTTTTCTATTCCAGAAATGTGGGCGAGGAATGCAACCCCCCATTTTAACATCATGTCTATAGGAAATTACAGTTCGCTTCAAGTATTTTCCAGCTAAGTCACCATACATCCCTCATGCATAGCGGGGGATTCCAGTTTGGTTTACAGGTAGGTGAGTGGCTAGGTAGGCAGGCAGGGAAGTAAGTGGGTGGTAAACAAGCAGCAAGGCAGGCAGGCCGTTCGAAAAAGAAGTGCATCTACACTTTATTGATGAAAATAAGAATAGGTTTTACCCTTAATTTCTGATAAAAAAAAGGTGTAAAGATGTTCAAACACCAAACAGATACCTTTTGCAAGGCATCAAGTCTGCATTAACCACACGCACTTGTGGCAAAGCGTGCAAACAAACATGCTCCGACTTATGGCTGTTTGAACATCTTAACACCTGTTTTATTTACAGAGAAGGTTAAAACCTATTCTCATTTTAATCATTTTGGATACTTGCAAAAAAGGTCCCATATCTACACTGGAGGGAAAGGGAGGTCCGGACTGCCCTACTCAACATAATGCCGCCGCGACCTTCACCAGGACGAGCAGACTGACAAACAAATGATCGAGCTACACTATATTCTATGGGAATCTCATTTGCCAGTAAAAATATGATAATTGTTTTTTTACCCTTCTATCTGGCAACAAAACTGACACCTTTTTACAAGGAGTCATGTTTGCATTATGACTGCAGGTATTGTGGTCTATGCAAACATGACTCCTTGTAAAAAGATGTCAGTTTTGTTGCCAGATAGAAGGGTAAAAAACCAATTATCATATTTTTACTGGCAAATGAGGTTCCCATAGTGTAGATGCTTGCCCCGAGCTCTCATACTCTGATGGTGCATTGTCTTTGAGTTGTGCGCCTTTTGGCGTCATCTGGTCCAACCCATGTGAGACTAGGCTCTAAGGAAAGCTGTCTCGGGTGTGGACCAATCAACTTCAAGGACAGTGCACATTATCAGTTATGTTCTTTTGTTTGTATTATGACTGCAGGTATTGCGGTCTATGCAAAGCATGACTCCTTGTAAAAAGGTGTCAGTTTTGTTGCCAGATAGAAGGGTAAAAAACCAATTATCACTACACTATATTGTTACGGAATATACCGATGCACTCATATAAGTTGTGTTTAGGCATGCAACCGTCTCAGTTTTTGGGGAGCTCAATAAAGACTGTCGTGTCTATAGTTGGGACAATTATCCAATTGCAAACAATTATTCAACTCAAAATTGACAACCCTTTTTGTCGTGATTCATTACTTGGGCCCTTTACAAATATGGCCACCGCCCTAAAATCTTGCCTCCTGAAGGCATTAAAACCCCCGTACACGTGACACCCACAGAAATGCCATCACAGAGCCTCGCCCATTACCTCCCGTCGGCAACACACGGGAACAGAGGTGCGAGACTTGTTTCCCCAACTATCGTGTCGTGCAATTAGTCGAGTCATCAAACCCCGATAATAATCTGTAGAATAAATGGTTACGCAAAAAAAGTTTGGATATCGCGTTTGTACTCGTGTAAAAAGGAAAAAACCCAGGACCACTTACTTGGTGCAAAGGTGGCGTGGACTATAGGTGAAGGGATCGGGTAAGGCACGGGCCGCATCGGATTGTAGGTCACGGGAGTCTGGACAGCAGAGAACGGGCACAGTGCAAATCCACGCAAGCAACTAAAAATGAATCAATGTCAAGTGAACCAAATTCACTCGTGTGTAAGAAATGGCAGCATGGCTGAAGTGATAAAAATTACTTTCAAGTGTTCCCAGACACATGTTTTTGAGTAATTTCTACATGACTGTGGTAGTGGTGGTGATAATGATTTAGCAGCTGCTACTGCTGATGATGATACACAATATTGGGATGCATTAAGCAGGTCTAATTCACCAACTAATTACATTCGTGAATTATCATTAATTTAGATTGCTTTATATCAGTTACCTCTAATGTGATCAAAGTATGAGAAAGCAAGGCTGCAAGTTGACAGCGACCGTTTGAAGCTGTCCATGATTCCCGAGGTTCATTTTGCATTTCAAAGCCATGATTTGATGTATTTCATCTGTGTAATTACCAGGCAGCTGCAACACTTTAACTTTTGACCCCCTGCAAATTGGCAGAAGAGACCACATTTGCCATCATGCAAACCTGTAATCGCTTGCTCAAGCCACTGCGGACAGAACAGCCTCGACCAGAGGGGGTTCTAAAGAGCCCCTTTAGACTCTTAGGTTTTTTTCGGTAAAGTCACGTAGGTAAAGTAAAATAAAACAAATTAAAAAATTCACGACGTTTCGGAAGCAACACAAGCCTCCGTCTTCAGGTGGAACAGTCACAGCCACGACAGCTGTATCAAGTAAATGAGAGATCACAAGAAATACTACCCCGTATATATAATGGTTGAGGGGGGAAGGGCCAGGAACGGCACACTTTTTTATTAAAATGGTAAGGTGAGGCTTAAGACCAAGAGTGTATTTGGCCTACTCTATCATGTTGGCCAAACATCTTGGCAGAGGTGGGTGCACCCACACTTTAGTCCACCGCACGAGACCTGACACGTTACTGTGGTGTACTCCTGGGTAGAACAGAGGTGGGGGAATTTAAGAAACTTGTGTCATTGTTTCAACTGCCATGCCGGGAGTGGAGTGATCCACCGAGCCTTTGCCTGTTAAAAACAGAGCCGTCGCAGGTCACATTTGGCCCGTGGGCCACCAGTTGAAGAACCCATTGGTCTCCGATGTGTTTTCGGGTTGTACCATGAAGCCACAATACCTTGGTGATCTCGTCAAGGAGCGTAAACCATCACGTGAACTCCGATCATCGTCGCAGCTGCGGATTTTGGCTAGCCATCGAACAAAAGACGATCACTGCATCGCACGCTTTCGGGTGCGCTTCTGCGGCGGTCTGGAACGCTCTTCCTTCTGATATTAGCAAGTCACTGGAGCTATGCACTTTTAAATCTAGATTGAAAACCCATTTCTTTAGAACTGCTTTTTGTGTTTTGTTTGTTGTCCTTCCCCCGCACCTCCAATTAGTACGGTTGGCTACGTACGGTGTGAAAGAAATTCAACACAAACACAATGTTACTTGGCATGATGTCCAAAGTTTTGCTCCGAATGCCACAAGTTTCTTCAGAGGGACATCAAGCCGAACAACAAGCAGCACGACCCAAGAGCACATTGGACAGCAATAAAGCATGAGTTTGCAAACCTACGGAGGACGATTCCCCCAGCATTTAGCACAAAACCCTCTCGGCAGTGATTAAACTCCCTTGGTCCGAGTGGGCAAGGAGAGGTGGACGAGCAAAGTGAGCTCTAAACAATAAATAATATATACAGTAGATTGTCAATTTATCCGCGTGCAGTTTATCCGATTTGCGGATCAACTGGGCACCTGAGATTTTGACATAAATTCGTGGATTTTCCTTTCAGCCCAAATGAATCATCTAAAAACAGTTATACATCGTTCTTGTTGGAAATGTTTATTACAAGTCATGTGCTTAGACCGAACAAATATGTGCTCCGGTTAATCCGAAATCCACGTGATCGCCTCTACAGTGTAGTAGTTGCATATCTTTGCAATATTGGCCTGATTTTGACTGATGTTGATTGGCGTGGTTCTGCTCCCCACTGAGTGGGCAGAGAAGGAAAGTATTATCACTGAGCACGTGCAATTGATCGGTCAATTGTATATTCATGGTTTGTGGCAAAGAGATCCGCGGAAAATGAATATTTTTGGATTATCTGCAAATTTTGAATTATCCACAGTCATCCTCCCAGTCATTAGCAGTGGGTAATCGAGGGTCTACTGTGTACATTTGATATTGCACAAGCATAAACAACAGACAAGCAACACGTAAGCAAATAACACTGCCCTACAGAGTAATATTTTATTCACCATCACAAATTAGTTAACGTATATATGTCTTACTTTCAAAGGATTTGCCAGTTCCTAAATATCGAATGGGTTATTGTACATATTCCAATTTAACACTGTTCATTTAGAAACATTCTCAGCATTAATTTCCTATCTAGGTCATATGGTAAATATGACCTCGATAACTCTTTGCTATGAAGAGCCATTGCCCAAAATTGAAACCTTAATATTTTTCTCTTAGGGTAGTGTTATTGATGAACATGTTGTGTGAAACTAAACAAGATTGTATTTTACCAGGTAAGGCCCATTGAGGCATACAGCTCTTTTTCAGAAGTGACCCGTTCACAAATGATAGCTCAACTAAGTGGCTTATCATGTAGAAATAAATAGCAGCAAAATACTCTAAACGCATTATGGGGACCTCATTTGCCAGTAAAAATATGATAATTGGTTCTTTACCCTTCTATCTGGCAACAAAACTGACACCTTTTTGCAAGGAGTCATGTTTGCATAGACCGCAATACCTGCAGTCATAAATACAAACAAAAGACATAACTCTGATAATGTGCACTGTCCTTGAAGTTGATTGGTCCACACCCGAGACAGCTTTCCTTCGAGCCTAGTCTCATATGGGTTGGACCAGATGACGCCAAAAGGCGCACAACTCAAGGACAATGCACCATCAGAGTATGAGAGCTCGGGGCAAGCATCTACACTATGGGGACCTCATTTGCCAGTAAAAATATGATAATTGGTTCTTTACCCTTCTATCTGGCAACAAAACTGACACCTTTTTGCAAGGAGTCATGTTTGCATAGACCGCAATACCTGCAGTCATAAATACAAACAAAAGACATAACTCTGATAATGTGCACTGTCCTTGAAGTTGATTGGTCCACACCCGAGACAGCTTTCCTTCGAGCCTAGTCTCATATGGGTTGGACCAGATGACGCCAAAAGGCGCACAACTCAAGGACAATGCACCATCAGAGTATGAGAGCTCGGGGCAAGCATCTACACTATGGGGACCTCATTTGCCAGTAAAAATATGATAATTGGTTCTTTACCCTTCTATCTGGCAACAAAACTGACACCTTTTTGCAAGGAGTCATGTTTGCATAGACCGCAATACCTGCAGTCATAAATACAAACAAAAGACATAACTCTGATAATGTGCACTGTCCTTGAAGTTGATTGGTCCACACCCGAGACAGCTTTCCTTCGAGCCTAGTCTCATATGGGTTGGACCAGATGACGCCAAAAGGCGCACAACTCAAGGACAATGCACCATCAGAGTATGAGAGCTCGGGGCAAGCATCTACACTATGGGGACCTCATTTGCCAGTAAAAATATGATAATTGGTTCTTTACCCTTCTATCTGGCAACAAAACTGACACCTTTTTGCAAGGAGTCATGTTTGCATAGACCGCAATACCTGCAGTCATAAATACAAACAAAAGACATAACTCTGATAATGTGCACTGTCCTTGAAGTTGATTGGTCCACACCCGAGACAGCTTTCCTTCGAGCCTAGTCTCATATGGGTTGGACCAGATGACGCCAAAAGGCGCACAACTCAAGGACAATGCACCATCAGAGTATGAGAGCTCGGGGCAAGCATCTACACTATGGGGACCTCATTTGCCAGTAAAAATATGATAATTGGTTCTTTACCCTTCTATCTGGCAACAAAACTGACACCTTTTTGCAAGGAGTCATGTTTGCATAGACCGCAATACCTGCAGTCATAAATACAAACAAAAGACATAACTCTGATAAGGTGCATTGTCCTTGAGTTGTGCGCCTTTTGGCGTCATCTGGTCCAACCCATATGAGACTAGGCTCGAAGGAAAGCTGTCTCGGGTGTGGACCAATCAACTTCAAGGACAGTGCACATTATCAGAGTTATGTCTTTTGTTTGTATTTATGACTGCAGGTATTGCGGTCTATGCAAACATGACTCCTTGCAAAAAGGTGTCAGTTTTGTTGCCAGATAGAAGGGTAAAGAACCAATTATCATATTTTTACTGGCAAATGAGGTCCCCATAGTGTAGATGCTTGCCCCGAGCTCTCATACTCTGATGGTGCATTGTCCTTGAGTTGTGCGCCTTTTGGCGTCATCTGGTCCAACCCATATGAGACTAGGCTCGAAGGAAAGCTGTCTCGGGTGTGGACCAATCAACTTCAAGGACAGTGCACATTATCAGAGTTATGTCTTTTGTTTGTATTTATGACTGCAGGTATTGCGGTCTATGCAAACATGACTCCTTGCAAAAAGGTGTCAGTTTTGTTGCCAGATAGAAGGGTAAAGAACCAATTATCATATTTTTACTGGCAAATGAGGTCCCCATAGTGTAGATGCTTGCCCCGAGCTCTCATACTCTGATGGTGCATTGTCCTTGAGTTGTGCGCCTTTTGGCGTCATCTGGTCCAACCCATATGAGACTAGGCTCGAAGGAAAGCTGTCTCGGGTGTGGACCAATCAACTTCAAGGACAGTGCACATTATCAGAGTTATGTCTTTTGTTTGTATTTATGACTGCAGGTATTGCGGTCTATGCAAACATGACTCCTTGCAAAAAGGTGTCAGTTTTGTTGCCAGATAGAAGGGTAAAGAACCAATTATCATATTTTTACTGGCAAATGAGGTCCCCATAGTGTAGATGCTTGCCCCGAGCTCTCATACTCTGATGGTGCATTGTCCTTGAGTTGTGCGCCTTTTGGCGTCATCTGGTCCAACCCATATGAGACTAGGCTCGAAGGAAAGCTGTCTCGGGTGTGGACCAATCAACTTCAAGGACAGTGCACATTATCAGAGTTATGTCTTTTGTTTGTATTTATGACTGCAGGTATTGCGGTCTATGCAAACATGACTCCTTGCAAAAAGGTGTCAGTTTTGTTGCCAGATAGAAGGGTAAAGAACCAATTATCATATTTTTACTGGCAAATGAGGTCCCCATAGTGTAGATGCTTGCCCCGAGCTCTCATACTCTGATGGTGCATTGTCCTTGAGTTGTGCGCCTTTTGGCGTCATCTGGTCCAACCCATATGAGACTAGGCTCGAAGGAAAGCTGTCTCGGGTGTGGACCAATCAACTTCAAGGACAGTGCACATTATCAGAGTTATGTCTTTTGTTTGTATTTATGACTGCGGGTATTGCGGTCTATGCAAACATGACTCCTTGCAAAAAGGTGTCAGTTTTGTTGCCAGATAGAAGGGTAAAGAACCAATTATCATATTTTTACTGGCAAATGAGGTCCCCATAGTGTAGATGCTTGCCCCGAGCTCTCATACTCTGATGGTGCATTGTCCTTGAGTTGTGCGCCTTTTGGCGTCATCTGGTCCAACCCATATGAGACTAGGCTCGAAGGAAAGCTGTCTCGGGTGTGGACCAATCAACTTCAAGGACAGTGCACATTATCAGAGTTATGTCTTTTGTTTGTATTTATGACTGCAGGTATTGCGGTCTATGCAAACATGACTCCTTGCAAAAAGGTGTCAGTTTTGTTGCCAGATAGAAGGGTAAAGAACCAATTATCACTCTAAACGCATGTTTCTAAATGTGGAGGGAAAAACCAGAGGCCCCGGAGAAAAATCCCCACGACCACGGGGAGAACATGCAAAACTCAAAATATACAGGCGTCAGGCTCGGGATCAAACCCACAGCCTACTGTATACGAGGCGAGGTAGCTAACATCTCGCCAACGAGTTTGTGATTTGTGAGCGTGAGAATGAGTCTTCTTACCGCCTTGCACGCTCCCAGCACGGAGGCAGCGACACCTCTTGTCCGTAAGTAAGGGTTCTCAGAGTCCTTGCTAAGCGTGTCCCTCTGTGAGATGGAGAGACAAGGGGTGGGGGGGATAGACACACACGCTCAGCACAGTGCCGGTCATCTACTTGGTGAACCGAAATTGTTCACTCGCTCCTTTCGGCAACGCGATCCACTTGGTGACCAAAATCGTTCACAGCAGCGACTATCAATTAACCGGTAAATCCTTGAATTTAATATTGTGGGGAAGGGCACATACTGTAGATTGTTAGGGTGACCTTAAATTCGCACCAAGAGAAACAATTATAGCATTTTGTCACAGGGAGACTGATCTCCGTAATAGAAATTGCTCAGGGGTGCCCAAGGATATGAGCAATGCCCCAAACTCATATGGGCATGGAGACACTGATGCAAATTCATTCTTTAGTAAACGTCAGCATCTCCCTGCTCAAATCAGCATGGGGCAGTGCTTTCCTCTATATTTCACTGGGAGCCAGTGGTGCAAGTTACACATTCCTATGCCAGCGAATCCATAGGATAGTCAAACTGAAGTTTCCACAAAGCAATACCTATTTTGTGAATCATGGAGCAATGATGGGGGTTCATTTATGTCCCAGAGTGAAGGTCACTTCTGAAAAACACACGATTGAGAAAGCGCTGGCTTGTGTCTGCCTCCCTCTATCTCCAATTGTCCGATCGTAAAGCAAATGAAACTCTGGACATCCGCGAGTTCTGCTCACACATTGACGCACACCGACCGCTATATTTTAAGGTAGGGCGGGTTTATTCAGTGTGAGGTACGGCTCTGCCACCGCCTTCCCCATCTACAGCCGACAGCGTTGGACGTTAATGGCACGGTGAGTCATGTGGAATGGATTTTTTCGGGCTCCTTGTGGTGAGATATGGTCTACACACCGAGAGAGGAAATCACCACCGTATTCACTATTTATAGCGGGGCAGCTTGTGTGACCAAGTCAGCAATTTAGCTATTAACCCAATCTGCATGTCGTAAGTCTCTGTAGCCATACTTTACCAGTGTTTCCAATACAGACATACAGAACCGCATCTAAATTACAACTCTATATACAGTGATTGCTTTAAACTAATATGCAATTATATATTCTCAGGAAGCCCTCGTGAGTTTAAAGGTTCTCTTTAAGATAGTAATTTAAAAAATACATTTGGCTTTTTTCTTTCAATTATATTCACAATTATGCTATGTTATAAGATGAATATGACACTGGAATGCTCACAAGTGACCAGTGTACCACCTGGTATTGGAGAGTAGCCCAGGATATTGATTAATAAATACCTCGGAAGTCACTTAACAGTCGGTCTCTTTATCCACACGAGATGCACACAATTTATATATGCCTTTCAAAAATGTCCGTTGCATGAAAAGCATTTCAAGTTCAAACATTTTAAAAGTTGGAAAAAGCAAAATGAAGTTGAAAAACTAATTTTTTTTTTCCCTTAATGTTCAATGGACCAGGTTGTACACTGGAGATCCCAGCTTAATTATGGGTGGTTGCTAGTATTTGAGCCTTGTATCGAAGTGGTGCTGGCTTAGTGCTCTGACTTGTACATGCCTCATCTGGGCAATTTAACCCCCTCCCCATTGATAGGTCATACACCGATTTAATGATGAAAAAAAAAAAGGTAAATGTGCAGCCCTGAAATTGCATGCCCCCCCCCATTGCTGGTAAAAGGACGTCCGCTAGAGGGAGCACGAGACAGCCCCTCGATCGGGTGTTTGGCCTACTCTTCCACGCTGGCCAGGTATGGGAGTACTCATCTTACCAGATGCGACCTCTGCCAATTGACTGTGGTGTACCCATCAATACTGCTGGGAGGACGGATGCGGGGACATTGTGAAATCAAAACCATTGCTTTAACTGTCGTGCCGGGAGATTGAATCAAAACGGCAACCTCTGGATTACAAGTCCAGCGTGCTAACTATTACATACACCATGTCAGCTTCCTATTTAATGTACAGCTTTATAAAGAACCCTTCATTATATTACCAACGAGTGCATCGTACCCAATGGTGCAATTACTGCGTCAACCACCAATTCAACTGCAGAGTTTCTGCATTACAGATAATTAATGCACCACAACATATTGCATTATAAATATATGGAAAAAAAAATGTACGCGATAAAGACATGCGAGTCGATAATAGTTCAGTTTATTTTTAGATGAAGCCTTCTCTCGTGTATGTTGAACTTCTTTCGCAACGTCCATAGCCAACCGTGCTAATCGGATAGGCATGGGAAACCGGAGGTACAGGTGTTGTTTGCTCACAACCCAAACCATGTTGATCATCGTGAGTTGGTGAAGGGGGGTGGCAGAAATGGTTAGCCGTGACTGGGAATAGAACTCATATTTCTGGGTTCAAACAACAGGGTTCTTGAACTCAGAAATTTACTTCTTTCGCACCGTATATAGCCAACCGCACTTTCAATTGTGTTCATATGTGTCTCATTTGTCCTTTCTCATGCCTTATCAGTACTTTTTTATTGACACTGTTTGAACCATCATGTTTCACAACTTCTTGTTCCGTCTCCGATTCAGACCATTACCATGAAGACATTCCGTTTTTTGTATGAAAAGAAAATAACTGATTCGTACGCATGTGCTTTGACGTGTAATGAGATTAAAATTCAATTCACTATTGCACGTCGAACGTCCAGCCCATCGGCCTAATACTGGATGTAAAACAAAAGTCAAACCAGTTCATAAAAAAAAAACAATTGAGTTAGATCTCGGAAATATAAATGTGTAGTTAAACCCACCACTACCCGCCACAGCCAATTAGTAAGGTTTGTCACGTAAACAACACGTGCCAATTAGTTACGACTTCAGCACCACGGACCGATCTTTTGGAAAGTAAACCAACAACATTTACAATTCGAGTACTGTGACATTTTGCAGGTGATTACAACCATTTGGCGATTAGCCAGAATTTACGTGACAAACCTTTACTACTAAGTGGCTACGTCGGGTGGTCGCGGGTTTAACGACACAATTAAATTTACGTGATCTAACCCCCCCGAAAAAACCCTTTATCGTGGATAATATTGGTCGCGAAAGTCTACTACGTGTTAAACTGCCAAATCAGTTGGACTCTGTTTCCAACTAACCATCCCTTCAAAAATGGTAATCCCAGCGAAGTTTTACAACATACGCCCGTGTTAAGCGAAGCGAGTGCTTACACAGAGCAATGAGCGCAAATCCATCAAATGCCGCATTTAGGACCAGGGAAGGGGCCAGCAACATTAGCCATCTCTTCTTACAAAGGGAGGCTTAATAATGACAATTCGTGGGAAAAAAAAAACTACTACGATGAGTCCATGCATCATCGCTGTATGCCGTGGAAAACAAGCAGGCAGAGAACCTCTATTTAAGGCACCGTGCGCGTGCATTTTACAATGGAGACCCGTGAAAAATTCAATTCAGTGTGAAAACAATAAAATATGCACATGCTCACTCTCTTCATTTACGCCGGAGTGCACCACGAGGTTTGAAGACTCTCTCTCAGGAATTTAACTAATTCATTATGTTGTATGTATGTTTATGTGTTGAACTTCTTTTGCATCGTATGTACCCAACCGTGCTAAATCGGAGGTGCGGGGGAAGGACAACAAACTAAACACAAGGAGCAGTTCTCAATAAATGTTGCTGTGAAGTATTATAGGTAGCAACTAATATAAGGAGTTCATTCTATCTCTACATAGGCTTTCCAAACCAGTATTATTGTTGTGGTCCAAATGACGACGTAGAGGCAGGTCTTCAGGTAAGGGCTTGCGCTGGTTATTTATTAAGGGTTTCAGATAACTTTCACCCGAGGTAGGTGCCCTACACTAGGTCCTTCACGCGGACCTTCACTCTGTCTGAGAGCTCCAGGGCTCTCTCCCTCGAGTCGGATCGGGGTTCAGCCAATACCGACCGACCAGGGAGAGCAGCACCTCCTATGATTACAGCCAGCTTCTCTCCAGATTCCCTCAGCTCTACCTCTGGCTGTCTCTTCCACCGCTCTCTATCCCGGGCTCCCACAGCGACCCCACTTTCGTCACGGGGTGCCTCTTAAGTACCACGAGGAGACATGACATCAATGCACCGCCCAGTGTGCATGACGTCACATCACACGACGTCATCGCACTGGACAGCACGCATGATGTCACGTCCCCATATTACTCCTCTACATTATTATCAAGTCACAATTGTTTAAGCAAGCTCTAATGGTTGCAACCTTCACGGTCTCATCAGCGGAGCCAATGAGCCAAAGGACAATAACAGATTTTGAATATTTTAAAGAAAGTTCTGCAAAAGGATATATTTAGAGCTTCAAAAACACCACTTAAGGTCCAAGCGACATGCGCAGATGATACAATTATTCATTCATCTGCCAACTGCTTGTCACTCCCCTTATCCTTGTGTAGTGTAATAGCGCCGGCTGGTGGACAGCGACGGCAACTGTGGTGGACCGACAGTACACACACCGGCCAGGGTGTGTTGGAAGAGCGGAGGAACTAGGGCAAGGGTCACGGAGGACCCTATCTGGAGGCCAGGGTGGAGCTAGGCCACACTGGGAGCATAAAAGGAGCCGAGAGCTCCTTTTATGCTACCAGCAGATGACACCCAACTTTTTGTTATCCGAATTTTTTCAAAATCTATATTTGTTCTCCAATCTCATCCTAACTGAGCTATTGTTGTCACATCATGCGATTAAGAACCCACTGAGATCTCTTGCAGAGCAATTCAACAACGGCGCACAGAACTGGATACCGCAGAGCTGCATCTGAGATCGTTGCAACTGACCTCTGCTCATCAATGTTGAGGGCAGTAATTTCCCACCAACCCTGCCACAAAAAGTATCGTTCAATGGAATAACAAGCTAATATTTTAATCCCATAGCTAAAATGTAACCACGTTAGTGGCGGAATCAATATTAATGTGATTGTTTTTTTCAGTCAATTGTGAATGGGCAGAGATCATCTCACGTACAACTTTTTAAAACAAATTTTTGACATTACTGACACAATGATACATATATACAT